CTGAATCCCACCACTGGGTATACCTCACTATATTATCTAACGTTAGAACATGGTTGTTAGGGTTAGGTATTTGGTTTTTCTTTTTTAATACAGCTAATTCATGATAAGTTGTATGTTCTTTTGTTAATATTGATATACTTGATTGACATAAATAGTAATGTATTTTATGTTTTAACTCATGTAATTGAAAAAGATAAGTGACAAAATTGTTCATATTCTTGTTTGAAGATTGTTAATACTTGAACATAATTGATAGTTTCAACCAAAATTTTGATTGTATGTCTAACATGTGAATGTGGTTGATAATTGTTTAAATGATTTTGTCATCGATTGATAAATTTAATCTCAGACTTTTACTTCTGCCATACATTAGGGATATAAGCTTTTTAAATAAATTATGCTTAGTGAAGTTGTCAGTTTAATTAATACATTAATAATAATTATAATTAAAACGACTGTGTTTACATATGTTTATTGTGTATAACATTGTGAAACATTTGTTACAGTTAACTGAAAAGTTGTTTAATATTTTTTGAAGTTTGCTTTAGTACCAGATATTTCCAGGATAAAACCAGATGATATCAGAGTTATTGGAGAGAAGCTGTCATATTATCAAAAGGGTTCTTTAGGTTTTGTTTCACAAGAAGAGACCATAAAAAGCAAGTATAGTTCTTGAAAATCTAGAACTCCTGTGCATAAGTATAATAGATTTATTGATAAAATAGTCTTATATCATTGTAGTAAATTTGTCGTGTTGTGCTGCCTGACAAATTTACAGATATTTTTTTACCCATAAGAATTGTGTTATTAAATCTATAGAAAGTTATGTTTATCCTCATTTTTAAAATAAAATAAATGTCAGCTGTATTTAGTATTATAGTAAAATAGTATTCAGAAAATACTGAATTTGATTTTAGCTTAGAATAGTGTTCCATCCTAGGTTAAACACATGTTAATGAAAATATTTTTGAAAATTAAAATTCAAGAATCCTGATGGGATTAACTTTAAAGAAAAAAAAATCATGTAAATGCATGTTGCAATTTCTAGTAATGTGTTTTGCTATAAGTTTTGTTGTTGCAAAAGAGAACCTTAATGGGCTAGCTGACTGGCTGTAATACTCTAAATTTTCAACATCGCCACGTTTGGAATATATCATGTGAACACTCCTCCTTACTACACCAGGTGACCAGACAGCTGCTCTATAGTACACCAGGTGATGAGACAGCTGCTCTATAGTACACCAGGTGATGAGACAGCTGCTCTATAGTACACCAGGTGATGAGACAGCTGCTCTATAGTACACCAGGTGACTAGGCAGCTGCTATATAGTACACCAGGTGACTAGGCAGCTGCTCTATAGTACACCAGGTGATGAGGCAGCTGCTACTTAATATACCAGGTGATCAGACAGTTCCTACTTAACAAACCAGATGACCAGACAGCTCCTCACTTGAAGTTCTTTTGAGCATAATGCCACCCCTGCTGAACAATAATGCAATAAAAGTGTTTATGTTGTTGAAAATATACTGATACTAATAGTTTCTGTTTCTAGGACTACATGATTTTTCTGGAAATAATGATAATCAAGAACTCAACAGAGAAGTCCATGAAGAATTACTTTCTCTTGATACTAATTCTTTCATTAGAAATGATGTAGATGAGAATCCAGAAGGTTTGCATCCTGTTTTTTCAAAGTCAATAGAAGAGGAAGAAAAACATCACAAGGATGCTATTGTTATTCATCCTGATACTACAGATCCTTCTTATGCCATTACTGTTACTGACAGTCATCATGATGGAGGTCATGGACATTGTCATGAAGTTCCAACATCTGTATCTTCTGTAGCATGGATGGTTATTATGGGAGATGGGCTGCACAACTTTTGTGATGGGCTTGCAATTGGTGATTTTTCATTTTAATGTTTTGATTCTCTTTCATGTGTAATAATTGAACCCTAATCAGGTCAAATAGCAATAACATCATAATATAAGTAAAAAAAAAACCTTTAAGCATTTTTGAATATATATATATTGGTCCTTTCTTCATTTATGCCCCCCAGTAGCACAGCAATATGTCTCTGAACTTACAATGCTAGAAACCGGGTTTCGATACTTGTGGTGGGCAGTGCACAGAGAGCCCATTGTGTAACTTTGTTCTTAACTTCAAACAAACAAATTCTTCATTTCTTCTGGTCCTTATAAAGAAGAGATTATATTTTGTAGGCACTCAAGAGATATTGGATAATTTGTAGAATTTAGCATTTATGTAAAACAATTATATTCTGACTTGAGTATTTTGAGAATATAGACTGAATTTGTTCTAGTTTGAACATTTTCAATTTGGGGGGAAATTTTTATCCATGGTAATTTCTTTTAGTGTTATAGATATTAACATTAACTTCCGATCAGAGCAAGCTACCTTCTTAGAGGGAAACTAAAATTCAACCTGGTATCAGTATAGCTAATTAAGTATATTTTTCTTATTTATAAAGATTAGAATGCATTGGGTACCTTGTTTTTAACATTATTTTAAATATATTTGCCTATAGCATATAATCTAGTGAGATATATTACCCTTCAGTATTTTAGTTCTGTTTTGTCAGTGAACTTGTATTAAAATCTCAGTAAGTACTCATTTAGGTCTGCGAACAACTTGTATTAAATTCATAATCAGTATTTTGACCTGCATCATGTTGTAATTAGATTTAGAAGCAGTATATATTTTGATCTGTCAACATGTTGTATTAAGTTCATAATCAGTATATATTTTGGTCTGTCAACATGTTGTATTAAATTCAGAATCAGTACTTATTTTTCACTATGTTATATTAAATTATCTGTCTTACAAAAATGGTCACTACCTGTGTTCTTAATACAGCAGGTGGCTAGTGTAAATAGTTGCTGGTTGTCAACTTTATTACAATATGGTAGCAGACAAGTTCTATCTATGACAGAATAAATCTTCCTGGATGCTTAGACTTGCATTTGTAAATTAGTTGTACTATATACACTGAGTGGTCACAAGTAACTAGACACCT